CCTGGCACCTCGTTTTGGCCTCTCCTTTGACGATGGATCTGCCTCTGTTGCTCCTGAAGCCACGCAAACAAATGAGGACCTGGTAAACCCTTTGGACACTAATGATTGTCCAGATTCAAAATGATAGCTCTTTAGACATGTTGGTCTATAATCACTGTCCAGAACAAAAACAGCGGTTCAAAGAACCGTTCGATTCTTACACTACAATATATATATATGTGAAATGTGTATATATATATATATATACATATATATATGTGTGTGATTATATATATGATTATATATATATGATTATATATATATATAAATATGTATGATTATATATATATATATGATTATATATGGCAATGCCCAATGCTATATCTGACACAGGTCAGGTTGGCATGGACTGAGTAGGTGCTGTTTGCCACATGAGCATGGTGGTATGGGGAAACAGCGTGGGATTCCTGAGAAGTGGGCAGGTATGGGCAGGTGCATGTTGCATACAGCATGCAAATGTGAGTGACTCCTGTGTGTTGGATGCAAGAAACCAATATTATTATTATTATTGTTGTTATTGTTATTATTATTATCATTATCATTATTATTATTATATATGTAACATGGGGGTGGTGAAGGGGAAACACACGATGTATTATGTGGAAAAAATCATGCGAATTATCGCAAAACGCAAGCAACATATGGCAAAACACATGCGATTTATATAGCAAAACACAAAGGTGTTGTTGATTAAATATAAAACCGTGTGTGCAGTGTTTTCACACCAAGGCCGTCAATTACCGATCAGAACCGTTCATGACCATTACATACCATTACTATTGGGGATGGGTCGTTCTTAACCGTGGGTGGCCAAGAAGATAGCTCTTTCTGAAATAGGACAATGAATTTCAGCAGCCGTTCACTGAACTCTTGCCTCCTTCAGCGTCTTTTTCCAGTTTCTGCCTTCCTGCAAAAAGATTTGGCCAAACATGCAAAACAGTGTGTGTCCAAGGCCTTCCGCAGAGAATGGGACAGTAGCTATGCCAGCTATGCAAACATCACCATGGCTTTGCACTTCCTGCAATATTCTCGCCACCAAGCTGCCCCGAGCTGTCCTGGTAGAACGTCGTAGTGAAGGTAGAGTCAGAGGAGTTTGACCTGGAACGATCAATTTACAGGGTGAAAAACACAACAGAAGATTTCCAAGCAGGTCCGTGTGGTGCAAGGAGGTATGGAGGTCAGGAATCAACCCCGCAACGACCCACTGCGTATTTGTTGAGACACAGGCTTCGCATCGTCATCCATCAGGGCATAGTACGCCTCAAAATCACGGGAAGCGGAAATGACAAATCTGGTCAGCCTGAAATATCTCGTCACAGAGACTGTGGATTAAGCGCGCGTAAAATAGGGTCACTAATAGCGGAAAAGCTAGAGTCACTAAGAGCGCATAAACTGGGTCACTTCTCGTGACACCATCTCATCATAGGGATACTTGTTTTAACCACCAAGACTGGAAAGCTTCTGGAAATCCAACACCACCTACAGATGGGGTTGCACATGGTTGCACAGTTTCATAGTTTTACTTCACACCCTAAAGACTTTGGTTTTTGACCACAGTATCCGTGTTGTTTCTCCGTTGCAACCTTTCAACATCTATTTACCAAAAAAGGATATAGAACACAGGGCCTCGGCCACCCGCTTGAAATCTTCAGATGCGTCCTTGTCCTGGCACGGGTCTGCCCGGCGTAGCCACTGGCAGTCTTTGTTCAATCCTTATGAGCGGCGGCAAAAAGCCTCGTGCCAATCTCTTCTATGTTATCCTACATATCTTCCACTGGCCAAGAGAGAAAAGGCAATGACCTGAACACTGAAACTTTCAACCCAGGTCAAACCCAAGTGCGTTCCTTGTTCTTGTCAGGATGGACTTTCAACGCCAATGCTCTGAACCTGGCATGTGAAGAAGCGGATTCTGACGCGCACACAAACACACATACGCAAACACACACACACACAGAAATACATACATTACATAGGTATTTAATATTGCATACAATACATGACATTCCATTACAATACGATACAAGACAGTACAGTACATGACATTGCATTACATTCTATACCTTACATTACATTACAGTACACTACATTACATTCCATTACAGTACATTACATTACATCAGAATACAGCAAGTAGTACATCGCACTACCTTACATACATTACATAAAGTATCATTACATGACATTGAATTACATTACATTACACTTCCCCACTCCATGTTAGGTGTATACCGTACCCCCTTGTGTGTTCAGCTGAAATGACCATCTTTAAGTAAATTCAGTGGAATCTGAAACATCTCTTCTGACATTTCTGCTCCAAGAGTGCCAGCCCGACCCTGCTCATGTGGGATGCTATATATATATATATATACATAGACATATACCATCGTGGGTCCCGAGAAAATTGCACATATGAAGATTCCCTGGGCCGGAAACGAACGGTCTTCACGGAAAGAAACCTATGTATGATGTGGAGGTGCCGGCGTTGTGCTGTCAATGCCCGTGCATTTCCAAGTTTGTTTGCTGTATGAATCATAAAACCTCACATGTTGGCACAGTAAACGGCGCCAAGGCACGCACGCTTGATGTCAGCCTGGGCCGGGCCGACCCCTACACTTGGAAAGGCAAAAGACAACTGGCGAGGGAAACATCACATTGACAATGAAATGCATTTGCTATCTTGCTTGAACTTCTTGACTAGAAATGTCAATCAATAGTGAAGACAGTGCTCCACAGCACTTGTGGAAATGAACTCTCGGCCGATATCTGGCATGTTTTTAATGGATGTTCAGTATCCAAGCCATCCCAGTCCTGATGATTGTAGAGATTGATCCCGGCTAGCCTTGCTCGCTGTTTTCGCAACGCCGAGGATTTGATGGTGGTCCATCTCAATGACCTTGCATTTGCTACCGAAAAGGAGAATCGACCAACAGCTGAAGAACCTGGAAGATAGATTCGTAGTCTAGTTTGAGCATAATTGTCGTACTTAGCATATTTTGAAAAATGGCTGAGACCACATATTAGGAACTGTCTATTTCCTGCGGTAAAGAAAAAATAAACCTCTGGTTCATGAATGGTTCATACCACCCTTTGCTGCGAAAATAGAAGATGGTTTCATTGATATCTACGGCTTTGCTGGAAACGAGGACGCCCATGACATGTCCATATATCCACCGTTCTGCTGTGGCAATCAATCAACTGATCATTTCTCATTTTTATACCCATGTTGAGTGGAAAAAGTAGCAGTAAACCTGTATTCGGTGGTGACATCCCCTACAATCCAACTATTTCAAAACCAATCAACCATCATTTGCCAACTATATATCCTCATATGTTGATTCTTAGAGCTGCCTTGAGTCTCCAATAACCCTAAAAGTTTAGGCCCGGCCTAAAAAAAAACATTGCCTGTTTATCTATAGAATATCCTTTTTTCAATATTCGGGGGTTGTAGCCTAACCAATGGATTCAGTCAAGACTCTAAACCACCATATCATGATGAGTTTTGACCAGGCAGAGCCGCTATAGCCATTTCTTCGATAGGTCCATCTAGAACAGTTTTGAGTTGCTATCTCTACAGTGGGTACATCATATTTTTCAGATTGCCATGATGATAATCGAATCATCAATGAGGTATATTGTTAATTATGTCTACTACACTGTTGATGGACAAATCCTGCACCACCTGCTATGCATGAAACCCTCTCTAAGTGATATTTAAACAAAACATTTACCGACTGGTGCAGGAATTTGTCAATCAACAACACCTCCTTGTACATCATAAATGGGCGGCTGTACAACAAACAATAATGTGGGAATGAAGCTCACTGGGTTTTGCCGCTCAGCTCACTGCATCTGGCATAGTTGAATGATGTTGTCCCTCCACTGTCCTTTTTTTGTTTCCCTGCTCCTTTTTTGGTGGACGTAACCCCTTTTAAAAATCTTTTGGAAACAGGCAAAAAAAAAGGATGGCGGAGGGTCTAGGTGCATAGAAACTATATTTGGTGACAAAATCGCCTTGTAATGTAAATACTACTTGTCATTCATCACTTTCCTCTCTGCCATGGCTATCGTGGGTCCCCAATAGTGGATTGGAAGTATGTTTCGTTTCCAACCCTTTGCAAAAAGTATCAGTGGTGCTCGGTACTAAATGCCTTCAAAATCCTTCGAAGTTGAGATGGTTTTGTTTTCCTAAACCACCATGTGTATGTGTGTCATGGTAAGACAGTTGAAGCCAATTTCCAATTGAAAATGGCAATCCTGGGCAACCTGTATGGTCTGTGAAGTGAACATGAAGCCATTGGCTTTATTGCGCGAGTTCCTGGTTTATCCCCTGGATCCTCATGGCGAAAGATGGATTCAGATACAAGTATTTGGATGAAAAGGTGCCTAGTGACGGGCCTCTGCGACGCAAAGGCTTGCAAAAGATCTATAAGAAGGAGCGAGCCCTGATGAAAAGATTTGAGTTGCTTTGTTTTGACTTGTTATGGATGATTCTTTCCCTATGCAGAAGCTTCTGGTTGACTCCTCATGTCGTGCAAGGGGTCCTGTGTCCAGCTGAGGAAGACAGCGTCAGCGAGATGAGAAGAAGTTGCGCGCTTCAGCAGCTTCTGGGGCTCTAGCTCTAGCTAATGAAACGGAAAACGCAGTCTCTACATGACAAATTTTGTATATAATATCCGAGTGGATGGAACGGGGGTGTTCCGCTAAATTTTCACAGGAACCCGAAGAACTTTCAGCTCTGCCCATTAGCTCATCCATTCCTTGAGGTCTTACAGCACATTACATTTCGAGAAAAGATCGGTTGGTATGACTTTCTTGATTTTCAGTTGTAGAGCCCTCATACAGATAGAGACAACAATCAGTTATAGCACCTTCAAAAAATACACCCGTAGCATCCCATCTTAAGATCTAGTGGTAGATCTTTATCGTTTCGGGGCTAGAGATGCCTAAAAAGTGCACGCCGT